GCGTTGTGTGTGTGTGTGTTGTGTGTGTGTGTGTGTTGTGTGTGTGTGTGTTGTGTGCGTGTGTGTGTGTGTGTTGTGTGTGTGTGTGCTGTGTGTGAATGTGTGTTTCTTGTGTTGTCTGTGTTGTTTGTGTGTGTGTGTGTTGTGTGTTTCGTGTGCTGTGTGTGTTGTGTCTCTTGTGCGTTTTGTGTGTTCTGTGTTTTTTTGTGGTTTGTTGTGCGCTTTGCGTGCTTTTTGTGGGTTCTGTGTGTTCTGTGGGCTTTGTATGTTTTGCTTGTGTGCTTTGTAAGTGTGTGTGTGTGTGCTGTGTCTCTGTGTGTGTGTGTTTGTGTGTATATGTGTGTGTGTGTGCGTGCCTGTCGGTGTGCATTTATTTGCTTAATTTTTTATGTACAAAAACTATATCAGGTGCACTTGTAAGTTAGGCTCTAGACAGATATGTACACATGTACACACACACACTCACACACGCATACAGATTTTCAAAAGCCAGTATATTAATGGTGGCACCCTCTCGGCTTCTGACGCTTGCGCAACCCGTATTCGCAGAAGCAGCTGTTCGTCGGACTGCTTTTCGGGGTGGCTGGAGTCATCCCGGAGCAAGCTTACCAGCCTCCAAGTGACACAGGAGATCTACAGCAGCTTGAATGCACGAGCAGCAAGCAGGCGGGCCTATCCACGCAGTCACGGCCTGCAACGCCGCTCCATCCAACTGCGAGCACCGCACAGCCCCTCACCTGCAGTCGCATAACAGTGCGGCAGGACAGCCAAGAGCTAAGGTTATTGAAGCTGATTGCCGTGGGTTTCCAAAATGCCAGCCTCCAAGTCTTTGTGCTCCAGCCCACCATCTTCCAAAATGGCTTCTAAACCATCGCGGCCCAAGCACCCGAGAGCGCGGGCAGCTGCCTCTCTCACCGAGACGTCGCGGTCCTGCTGGATGACTGCAGTGTCACGCCACTCTTGCCATGAAATCGCTCGCTAAGGGAAGCCGCCTCATGTCATGAGTCAGCTGCACATTGCTTTTCTGTCGTGCCTCGCCCTTCTTGGACTTACCCGAGGAAGCCGGGCTCGGCTAGGGGGGCACTGCGCTGCCACGTGTCACCACTCAACCACCCCCTCGACAGCCCTCCCCATCTTGCACCACTGGGCTTCCTTACACTTGCCCTCGCCGTTTACGGGTGTCCCTGGCCGCGATAAGTCGAAGAACATCCCGCAGAGGCGGACGGCAGGCTAGCATGTGGAAAGCAGTGTAAGAGCAAAGCTGCAGCTTCTCTGTACATCACCATCTGCTACAGGTGGCATGGTCTCGTAGGCAAATTCCCGCTGCCTGCTTGACTAGCCTCAGCAGCCTGGGCACAGCGCGAGGCGTTTCTGCCGCTGTTGGTCCGAAGTTGCCCAAAGCTTCAGCTGCCGCTTTCCTTCCACGAGCCTGATGCCATTCTCAGGAAAAGCTCACCCCAACAAGATAACAAGCAACATGATAATTAGACGATTCAGTTCACTGTGTTTCACTTAGTGCCCGTACATGCTCTAGAAGCTCCTCTGGATCCCGCAGACATCCAGCAATGGATGCCATCATGGTGCAGGAGTCAGGGATCGAATGTGAAGGTCCCAACCTTACGTGCTTCACAAAGAAAATCATCAAGTACGCGGTCTCAACAGCGAGGCTCTGAGCTGCTCACTCTCCTAGGAGACGCAAGCCACGCAGCCGGGCTGACAGCGCCTCCTCTCCTGCCATGACATCACAGCACAGGCCATCCAGTGATGCGCTCTCTTTTCTTCGCTCTCTCTCTCTCTCTCTGACTCTCTCTCTCGCTCTGCAAAACATTCCCTTGCCATGTCTTGTCCTGGTGACTCGGGCAGCAATAGGCCAACTGGCCCCCCCAGCTCTAACAACCATGCCGCGACAAAGGCCGCAGGAACGGTCGCCAAACTCAAGGAAGCAGAAGTCCATGCTGCGATGGCTTGTGCTTCGACTGCTGACATCAGCTCTCCTGCCGTTGCGGCTGGTACATAAGAAGCACCAAAGCACGGCCTTTGACGCACCGCGAGAAATCCTGATGATGAGTTTTTCGGCCACCAAGATCGCTTCTTTTTGGTGGAAGCTCTTGCACCAGCGGCAGACTGCATGTCGAGACACATCTCCTGGAAGCAATGCTATGCCAAGCACAGACTGATGCCCCTGTTACCCTTTTGGCATCCGGGCTTGTGCAATCATGCCCTGTTACCCTGAATGTGCAATCAGTGCCGGTGGCGAATAAGTCCGATTGTCGCCAGCAAGTGGGTCCTTATGAAGCCCTCAAACATGCAGGCTTCCTGAAGCGTCTCGGAGACAGCTGCCGCATCTATCCCAACAGTCTGGGCATCCTCAGTTTTCAATTCACTACTGTGCCCACTTTCCATGCAGCACGACAGTCTCGGCTTGCTGCCGTGTGCAGCTGCTTTGACAGTCGCAGGCGACCGATCCGACAGGCCACGCGAAACGCTTGGAGCTTGGCCTCACAACATCCGTCAGCTGAACAAAATAGAAGTCCAGTTATGACCACGAAGGCACCTCCTTGCGGCAACGCGCCCACCAAACCGGGAGCTGATGATGCCTAATCACCATGTGCAACATCCTCTCATCAACTTCCTGGGCTGCTGCAGGCGGCAATGCTTCGGGCAAAACCCAGACAGCTGCAGAACAAGCTGCCTCCTGCTGACATGGCATCGACGTCAGCACGCTTGCTTCATTGTGTTCAAGTTCATTCCCATCCTCGTAGAAGCGAGTTCAATATCGAAAATCCATCATGTGCACCATTCTGCTTAGCCGCCAGAATGGATGGTCGCAATTGTAGGAGCTGCTGCTTCGAGTAGCTCGGGCCTTCCGACTCCTGCCACAACCGACGACTCTTCATTTGTCGGCAAACATCAATCGCATGCTCCTGCTGCTCCGGAACAGGATGTTTCCTGGGCCATGCCATGGCTGAGCCAGCCGCGAGGTTGACAGATCCAGGTTGTTGTGCCACGCTCGAGTAGGTGGTTTCGGCTGCACGGCTGCCAACCAGGAAGGGCATGAGCCTGGAGGAGTCGTCGTCTTGCTGCATGTCCGCATCCTCCGTAGGTGTCTTTTCTGCTCCGGGCTGCTCCTTCGATCTTCCCCACCGGCCTCTACAAGCATCCACAAGCAGGAAACTTTCAGAACTTGTCCCTCCGTGTTCCGCCTGTGTTATTTGCTTTGTTCTTTGCTTCCTTCATGCCTTGTTCTTGATGCTCACCCACTGCTGGGATGGCAAGCTGCGATAAACTGGGTTAGTTCATTGTCATCACTTCCACCAGCAAACTTTCCCACACGCAGGTTCACCTTCTCCACTCTCCAGGCACAAGTTTTCCCATCAGTTTCCTTCCTTTCGACTATGGTGTGGGGTTTGGTAAGTGCTGCGGTTCTCTGGCTTGTCATGGTACGCTATGCCCCCGGTGACTATGGATGTCAACATGTTGCGCATGCTGTCTCTCGTTTAAGCAGTTTACGGATACCGGATAGATTCGACAAGAATTGCATGGCATCTAGGACTCGAATCTCAGAAGGAAGCAGCCAATGGCAGCAACTACAACCCATTGCGTTTTGTTTGTACATTAGGTCATGTTGCTTTCCCCCCCAACAACAACAACACAGTGGCTATGGTGTACAGGACTTGGAGGATTTGCGGGGGATTCCGAGGATTTCAAAAGCTTTCCAAAAATCCTAAGATTTTCGAAGGATTTCCAATGATTTTCAGAGGAGTTAGGATTTTCAAAAAGTTTCCAAGGATGTTCAGAGGCGTAGGATTTTCAAAGGGTTTCCAAGGATGTTCAGAGGGTTTCTGATTTTCAAAGGGTTTCCAAGGATGTTCAAAGGATTCCCGGTTTACCAGGGGTGTCCAAGGTTCACGGGTGTCCAGGCTTGAGCACTTGCGGTCTTCTGTTTTTGAGAATTTGGGGTTTAGGTTTGGGACTCAACTTTAGGCTGCAGCGCCTACTGTAAAACCCAGGATTTCCAAAGCATGGAGATCTTTCTAAATGCCTTTCCAAATACTCCTATTACAACCATCAGAATCACCATGTAAAATCCTTCCAAATCCTAACTCAAACTTGCGGACGAACCCGTCAAAACAACAGACGGGGCTCCAGTTTTCGTCTCTAGCAACAGGTAGAAACAAAGGCCCTATTGAAATCAGGGCTTTGTTTGTACCTGCTGGTAGAGACAAAAACTAGAGCCCCGTCTGTTGTTTTGACCCCCTGTCTACAGCAACCACACAGCCTACGCCGAATTTCTATCATGGCGCAAATGCGGTGTAAACCATGGCTTGCACTCCCCAAAACTCCACATGCACTCTGTGCGGTCGCCGGAAGCATTCCCAAATGTTTCTAGTTAACATAAGTTACGGGCTGCTGTTTTTGTCTGTACCAACAACGGTCCGACCTAACGTAAACGCGCGCCGCACACATGTCGATTGCATTGGTTTTTGCAGCATTTCAGACACTTCAACGGCGGAAAACCTCGGTGGCGTCGGTATTTGCTGCGTCTGGGTTTTCACGCATTGGCAAGTGGCGAACGCATCGGTATTTGCACGGTTTTCTTTGCTTTCTATGTTTGAAAGGACAGAAGATATGGCCTCTTAGGAGAAGGACAGTTCTGTAATCAGTAGCCTTATTCTTGAAAAAATGCTGCAAATTACAACACATCGCGTTACACAGGAATTTATGTTTGGTTGGCTGTCGTTGCTTCGACACACATTTTGCAGGGTTTTCCGTGCTTTCCTGCATGACAGAGGAAGATATGTTTGCATTTGTGCCGGAGCCCAGTGTGTTGCGTTTGCAACGGAGCGGAGTGTGTTGACCCACAAAGTTGCATTTGTGGCGGAGCGGAGTGTGTAGAGCTATGCACAAAGTTGCGCTTGTGGCGGAGCGGAGTGTGTTGACCCACAAAGTTGCGTTTGTGTCGGAGCGGAGCGTGTTGTGCCACAAACTTCGTTTGTGGCGGAGCGGCGTGTGTTGACCCACAAAGTTGCGTTTGTGACGGAGCGGAGTGTGTATAGAGCCATGCACAAAGTTGCATTTGTGGCGGAGCGGAGTGTGTAGAGCCATGCACAAAGTTGCGTTTGTGGCGGAGCGGAATGTGTTGAGCCATGCAATATAAGAGCCTCCGACATCACGAAAGTATTGCAAATACCGAGCAAACGGCTCTTGTGGAGACATTGTTCTGGGTGTCTGTCTACAATGTCGTCATCATCCCCCCCCGGCCCCGCCCCCCCCACACACGAACGAAAAACAGAGGAAACACCGTAAATTTCGATATATTCAGCACCCGAATGCAAGGAATCGCCGCAAATACCGAGGATTCCGGACGTCGCAAAAACCCAGAACTGCAGGCACACGAAACAACGACGGCACCGATGCGAAAGGCATTTCGAGTGTAGAAAACGCTGTAAAAACCTATGCAAACCCATGTCGGCTTTTCGCGTTTACGTCCCGTCGGCGCCAACAACAACAACGACAACAACAACACAACACGATACAATACAACATAATACAATTCAATTCAACTCTTCAACGCAATTCAATTGAACGCTGCGCGAGCGGGCTCCATGCATGGCGGCATATTACCGCACCAAGCACTCATTAAGCGTGAACCCGACCCGTAGATCAAAGGATCAAAGCATGACTGAGTTATGTGAAGGAACTAGTATGGTGACTCATGGTGACCGATCCACGCTGTGCTGCCTCGTACTTCTTAGAGCCGGCAAGCACACGAGGCTCCCTCCCCATCTCCACCGAGCAGGAATGCCTACACTGCGGCTGCCCCGTATCCGTTGGACCGACGAGCACATGAGAGGGTTCGGAAGGCCTCCACACAGCAGGACACGGTCTGAGTGCAGGGCATAGGTGCAAGTAGTCTTCAGCAAGAGGTACCTGCATGAATCAGGATTTAGCATCTTATCGATCAGTGCGGCTGATGCAGTCATGCTCCGGCTCGCTGACTTTTTTGGTCTGCCATTGGCAGCCGTCCTTGTCGAGTGGAGGAAGAGCGCAGCTCTCGGAAGAGCACGGACCGGCCATGCCTTCAAGCACCTGGACTATACTGGCCCGTGGCCCCTTTGGGTACTTAACTTAAGTCTCAGATTTCCTGTTCCAGGAGCGGATGACGTCGCTCCCTGGCTCGCTGAGGCCTCCCACCAGCTCTGTCCGGACCAGCTGCATCGACTCCAACTGGTCGCCTCTTTCTGGAGCTTCTCCATGAAGGGTGCAGCAGTGTCCGAATACTTCTTGTGCCTGGGGGACGGGCGGAAGTATTTCATCTTCGCCTGGGTGGCGCCCAGTCTGTGGTCAATCCTGACTTTACGGACCTTCTTTCCGTCCCGGTCCGGCATATAGATGATCATGTGATTGACGAGCCCGCAGGTCCGCGGTCGAGGATGTGTGTGCGGCTGTCGTGCGTGAGGGTCTGACTTCACGGGCAGAGGTGATCCCAGCTTCACAAGCAGACAAAGGCGCTTAGCCCAGAACGGACGGCCCGCGGCTCAGCAGCGGAGCCAGTCGGCACAGAGGAGCGCCCTGCTCCCCAAATGCCAGGCAGCACAGTGCTTTTGCCAGCAAAGGCTGCTGTCGGCTCACTGGTCGACTCTCGCTGATCCAACTGGGCCGTGCCCCCATGGTGGAGTCCGGCTGTGAGTCATCAGCCCGTGGCTCCGTAAGAGATGGTGGTGGTGGGTTTGAGTAGGCCTGCCAAGGGAAGATTCCTGATAGACGAAGCGGGTGTGCCGGCCGCACGTTTTCAGCTCGCACTTCAAGAAGAAACGCGCAGAGATGGCTGAGGCCTGTGCCTTGTCCGGGCTGATCTAAATGAATAGCCTCCGGGACGAAGCTGCCATTGTTGTCGGCCTATCCCCCCAATGTCTCCTTTCCCTCCTGGCTCGTGGAAGGATTCAGCCAGGTCTCCACCGGTCACTATTCACGCCTGGCTCTGGACCAGCAGCGGCGAGCTCAAGGCAGACACTGCTTGCAAGTCGACGTCCGACAAGTGCGGCAAGGCCATGTGTCTCGTTTCAGCCAAGTCTGCAGCTCTTTGCTCAGATGTGAGGGGAGGGGATGGGGTGTGTCAGCTTGCTTCCTTTTGGTTGAGGAAGCAGGCTGTCTGCTTGAGAATCGTCTGTGCCAGGCGGTGTGAGTCTCCGTGCACCGTGGAGGGCGGCGCATGTCTCTGCCATAGCCCGGGGCTCCATGGCCTAGCTGAAGCGGGTAGACCGAGTCTCCTGAACAGCCCGCGTAGTCGATGAGCACGAAACAGGCAGGGGATGGCCGAATCATGATGTTGTCGGCATGGATGTCTGCATGCACGATTTAAATTTGTGCCCTGTGCAGCATCTCCAACGCCACAGACACATCGAACTTCAGGCGTGTAATAGCCTCGGGCTCCAAACCACGGAGTGGGGTGGGCCACAGGCGTGGCATGAGCGCTTTGGGTCCTTCGGTGACCGACAAAGCGGGGAGGCGCTTTAAGCGCATCAGCTCGCACTTCCACTCGATTTCGTGACCTTGGTGAACCTGCTTGATGACATAGTTGGCATCGGAGCAGCGAGGTGCTCCCTCTTCCTATCGTTCTTCCGGTAGTGCCTTTTATCTGGGCCGGACAGGCCTCCGCAGTAGGAGTGCTGAGCGGTACGGCTCAGGGAATCCATCCTGCCGGTGGTATTCCTGCTCCATCAACTCCAGGATGCCCTTGGCTTTCTGCAGCAGGCCAGCGTCGTGGAGGGACATGGCTCGATCCTACCGTTTAGAAGGAGCCTGGCCCTACCCCTCCTCCTCCTCCTCCTACTACTACTACTACTACTACTACTACTTCTACTTCTACTTCTTCAACGTTACTACATGACAACACTACGATATGACAACAAACTTTGCTCAAAGGATGGCAGCAGCAGTCTTTACGGGCCCTTTGTCCGATTTTGAGATATGCAGACCAAGGGGTTAGCGAGGACGAGGGCGTCATCGTCGTTGTAATCTATCTGCAGCGGAAGCGTCGTCGCCATTGCCGTCATCGTGGCAATCGTAGCATTGGCAGTAGCAGAATTAAAGCAGCGGCAGCAGCAGCGGCAGCAGCAGTGCCATGCAGTCACAGTGGAAAGGATGCTAAGAGAAGGAGCAGCGGCAAGGGTGACGGCAAAAACGACCGCACTAGCCAGCGTGAAACCACACATCGTTTCAACACCACCAGAAAGCCCAACAGTCAGAGAAAACCACAAGTAATGATATTGTGCGCATGGCAATCAAGAAACAACACCTACAGCATGTAGGGTTAGACGAAGCTCATCATACAGAAGATGAAGCAGAGTACCATAACACGACGTATCTGTCACACTTCGGGGGAATGACATTTGCTGTCACCATCAGCCTTTCCTCTCTTTCCAACACGACCCGAATGAAGGAATGCTTGCACCGTGCCGATTCGAAGACTCTGCCGACACTTTAGGCTGCGATTCTTTTTGCCGAGCCATACCAGCCGATTCAAGACATAAGGACAATTCGACACAGCCTCGCGCAGCGAAGCTGCTCGCACTTCTTTCGGTGATCACACCTGCCACGGACAAAACTAGTCATACAATCTGTTGTCATGATACCAGCCTTCTGAATCGGCAGCTGCAACCATTTCCTGTCGCACGGTTGACAGCATGAGTATGCTGTTTGTGACCTATTGTTGTTGCGTTCCTCCGCGACGGTTTCCGGAACCACAACGCTTGCCGATCGAGCATCCGAGTAGAGACATGCAACCTTGAACGCTTGAACAGCACATGGAACAGCGTGTCAGAAGCAGGCAGAAATAAGCTCACTGCGAGGAGGTTCTGGACCTCTTGACCAATTGCAAATTCATCCCGAGCGACCTCCAACGGCCCAGTTCAGTGGGTGAACCGACGGACATGTCATGCAGGCCTGGTTGGGGAGAAGTGCCGGAGCTTCCTGCCTTACACGAGAAGAGGGGCACAAACTCTCTTCATGCTCATTCACTTCTGCCACCGTACTTCAGATCGTGTGACCATGCGAGCGTCGCCTCTTACTCAGGATGCAGCGAAGGTAGCTTGAGCAACAGGCCGTGTGGTGCCGCAGACCTTGCATCAGATGCACATGCTTTAGCCCCGGCCCAGGTATTTCCATACGCCTCAGTGTTTGGCAGAACGATGCAACTGGGAATCAGGTCGCCAACATCGAAAGCCAGCGGAGCCATGAGGGTTTGACCGCCTTTCTATCCCAAATCACTGCCTGTATGAGTGTCGAGTTCAACACGTACCAAGCAAGAACTCACAGTAGAGAAATGTGGGGCATCTCGTGACATGATGTTCGTCTGGTGGCTTCGGACTGTACTAGCGAAAGCAATGCATTTCGGCACCAGCCCCCAACAGAGTTGCATGCAATTTGATTCCCGACTTTTCATTTCAGCGATGAGCTCCAGCAGACCTCACTTTTGCTATCTGGCTGGAACTGAACGAGGCAGGAAACTGACAAGTCAATTTGCCGCCACCTGTCCCGCTCTGTCCAACGCTCGTGAAATATCTTTGCCGCATCCTCACACTGAATGACGAAAGATTTCCGTATACCTCCAATTGTTTAGGTGATGTGGTTTCAGCATGCGAATGCGAGAAGGTTCACCCACTTTGTCTCAGCCGACTTGGTATGCACTGGCACGCCACGCATCCTCAGCAGCACAATGCTTGCCCTGGCCACCAGAAAAGTTGAGGAGGATCTACTTACCTGTTGAGCACTACCACTGCCACATCTGGCAATCAGACCGTGAGCACACCGGCGAGCTTAGCGTCAAACCCGTTCAGCCTGGCAGTGTGGGTCCAGCACCTTCGATTTTTCCAGATGCACCCGTCACAGCTCATGAGTCTACAAACCGACGCCTACCACTCCTGCCACTTACGCCAGGAAGAGTCGCCTTCAATCCTATCAACCTGGCTAACAACATGGAAAACAAAAAAATCGTCCTGGCGCGAGGCACTCGCTAACACCACGACAAATTCAGCGTGCTCAACAGCCCCCACATCCACCCACTGCTAATCGAACGGATTTCGGCTCACATTCGCTGAGGCTAGATCCGTTCCACTGCGGTGGCCACGCGGCCCAGGCTTGGAACCTCAGCTAACAGCCAGATACAGCCAGCTTCACGACGGTGAAAAAGCGCAGCGAGCTGAAGCAGGCACCATTCCTGGCCCGGACCTCGGCGTTGCATGCGGTTCTGCACTTGCATGGACTTGCAACATGCTGCAACACAAGGCACTTGGTGGCGGCTGCCACGAAGGTGGAGGAGCATGAGCTGGATGCCATTCTGCCGGGGCTGGGACTGCTTGGGGGGCTTGTGGCCATTCTGGAGCGGGGTGCTGTGGCGGCTGCCACGCAGGAGCTGGAGCAGGATGGGCTGGATGCCACTCTGCTGCTGTTGCTGCTGGGGCTGCTTGGACGGCTTGCTGCCACTCCGGAGCCGGATGCGGCGGAGGCTGCCATGCAGGAGCTGGAGCAGGATGGGTTCCGTGCCATTCTGCTGCCGGAGCTGCTGGTGCTGGGGCTGCTGGTGCTGCTGGTGCACCTGCAGCTTGCTCCCATCCTCCCTGTCGTTCTCGCGATCTGGACCGCTCGCGAGGAGGTATATGAACAGGCCTTAAGTCACTTGGAAGGGAACTTCCGCATCTCACTGCTAGCTGTCAGCTTCTTGTCCGAGCCGCGGTGGCGCTCCAGGACCACCTGGCATGAAGGTGGCCGGCATTTTCATCCGCAGTTGCCTCATTCAGACGCCACCAGCACGACACCCGCTGATGCTGACAAAGAACAGATTCAAAAATTTGAGCTGCATCTGTCATTCGAGAAGCTCGTTGCCCAGCATAACTGGACCCAGCTGTCGAAACTGCGGCTGTCCGCCCTGAAATCCGGCCTTACTTCCCAGGTTCTTCTCATGGGCACAGGTTGACACCGAGACAAAGGGAGGGGCAGGAAGCATTGTCCCAGGTGGCAGCCAGTCCTCCACGACACCAACACTCTAGAGAAACGCTTCTGAGTTCTGCCATTCGAAGACGTGTCAGATTCATGATGTGCTAGACTTCAAGAATATCCTGCGCAGAGGGCATGAAGGACACAGCACCTGTCCATCCAAACACCACACGAGCTGGTTCTCGCAAGCAGGGTTTGCAGACTGCAAGAGAACCTTGGGGCTTGTGACCCGATCTCTCATCACAAACGAAGACACCAGGCTGGTACACTCGACCTTGCACGCTTGCTGAGCAAAGGACAAGCCCGTGCGGTCTAGCAAAAACGAGCCCGCCACCGCCAGTGCTAAACGGGTTTGCGCCGGTGGTTGCAGCCTGCAGTTTCTGCTTGTGCGCCAAAGCTGCGGCTGCCTGGCAGACCGCAGATGCCGGCCCGTGTTTGAAACTTGAAATTTGTTTCTGGCACCTTCGCCGCCTCCTCTATCTCTCGTTCCTTTGCGGCCTCTTCCTCAGCCTCCTTGATCAGCATCTGGCACGCAGGCGGAACGGATCGTAGCACTTTGCATCGGCCACCGGAATAGGTGTGCCTCCTCGCTCAACAGATCAGCCTGCAGCATGTGCCGCATGGACGTAGCCCGATAGCGAGAGCCCAGAGAGCCGAGCCTGCTTCTCTGCGAGTTCCAGGGCTAGCTTCCTGTCCTGTGGAAAGCTCGATCAGACCACATGAAATCTTCGAATGACAAGGCAGCATGCAGTGACGTCCTCTTCATTCTGAACTATACTAGCTGTCGTCCCGCTTGCTGCCTGGAAGACAAACTTAATGCAGGATTCAGTGCATCGGCATGTCGCGATAGCGAGCAGATTGGCATCACTTCCATGGGCTGCGAGCTGATGATGCAGGAGCAGGCTTTGGCTTTTCCGGTGGTGGCGGCCTGCGCAGATACTTGACCTTATGACTTCTGACCCTTAATTTCATAAAGGTCTGTCTGCCCAGTGGCTTTGAAGGCTCGTCTTTTCGTCCCAAGCTTAACAGAGATGCCAGGGACATCTCTGCCTGATGGACTGCCAAAGCTTGCTGCCAGATGATACCTTTGCAATGCGCCTAGGACAGCCAGGTCAATGACGGCCAACGCCGGTCGAAGCGAGCTAAGAGAGCGGAAGGACGTGGATGCTTATTATCTGGCTTTTTTGTGGCGTGCCTGAGCCCAGTGACTGTTCGGCCTTGACGGCCCTAGTGACCTAGTGGTCGATGCAGTGCTTTCAGTTGTGCATCTGTTGCACACAAGCGCCGGGGTCGGGTCACCGGCTGTTGCTATTGCTCACTATGTCTTTGGCACTCTACAATGGTAGTCTGGCAGGGTGCTTTGAACGTATCGTTGCGTGGATGCCCATCAACAACCCGAAGCTGCCAACCAAGGCTAGCAGCGGCTAACAAAGCCTTGGAAGCTTGAGCCGGCGCGATGCGGGCAAGAGTCGTCCGCGACGTCATTTCAAGCAGGCAGTGCTGCACCTAACAGTTCGGGTAGGGCGAACGGTCCAGCTGCCCTGTCTGTACTCGAAGACATTGCAACACCACGTACGACCGTCATGCATCGACAATCTCAGAGTCCAGAACCGACACCTGCACCCGCCAATTCACCTGCACCCACACCCACAGCCAGAGCAAAACACGCACACAGGCGCACACGCACGCGCACGCACACACACACACACACACACACGCATATATATATATATGGATCGGCAAGAAACTGATGGCTGTGCCCACACCACATGCATAGAAGCCGTGCCCGGGGCATTCCACCAGGATCATGTCACACTCAACAGACAGGCGCCTCCTTGGCTGGAGCCTGTGAACCTCAGGCCCCCTGCTGAAGTCAAACTGCAGTCAAACGTACACAGAGAGCACCGTTTATCCCTTGTAGGAGTGACTGTCAACAGCCATTCGCCTCGACCCCGGCCCAGCGACCACCCCTCCGTTTGTCCAGCAGCGCGGAACCCCCCCTGCTCCCTGCGGAGCCCGTTGGGCTCAGGTGGTGAAGTTTCGTGTCCTCCAAGCAAAAACCGTGATTTGTAGGCATGCCCCCCTCCCCCTCCCCCATCCCGCCTCAGCTCCAATGACGCCTTAAAGAGACAGCTGAGCAATTCGTCGGCCCTCTTTATTTGCAGCCGGGCCGAGACGGACGACGCGAAGCGTTTACAATTGACCATGTCACCTGTTTTCGCCAGTGAGCACGATGAGCTTCACGGACCCAGGAGCTGCAGTTCGATTCCAACGAAGATACCAGAGTGCCGAAACCAGCGAACCAGTATCGCGCACTTTTTTTCGTCACCACAACATCAGCCCATTGGCCTGACATTGCCGGTTTGTTCTCTGGGTGCGTGGGGCCTTCGGCCTCAGAGATGCACTGGCATTTGGGCTGCCTTCTTCCTCCGATCTCTCTCCATCTCTGTCTGGCTCCAAACGAAAGTACAAGGCTTCCAGCCCGGACGTGGTTGGCCCCGCCTTGTCCTTGTAAACACGATGCACCAGCGCAGTAGGAGACTCTGTAAATCTCGCTCACGACGCATCATCTTGGCAGCGTGCCGGCAGAGTCTTCTGATTAAAAGAAGGACTCCTGCTTCACATGGCAGGCACCGCTGGCACTACTCGGGATGTGAATTGACAAGACTGGTGGATTGCAGCAAGTATCAAAAACCTTTAACATCACAAGCCGCCGATGCCTCTTCACAGTGTCGTCCTCATCAGACCTTTCAAGCAGCTACGAGAAACAAGCATCCTTCCTTGCGTCACCTGTTTTGAGATCCGGGCTCAGACAGGTATGCAGAAATATGGTGCAGTGTCTGCATCTCCTCGCAGGCATGGCTCGTGTTCGCCTGTGTCCCTTTGCATACCGTGGTGACCCTTGGTGCACGACAGGAGCCGAGGAGAAAAACCTCGGCGAAGTATCAGAACCAGCAAAGCAAAGAACCGTCAAGCGCAAGTCTCTCGGTGCAGTACTGCTCCGCGCTGTCCTTCGAGATCAAGCGCACAGTTATATGATGCGACCCTCTATGCTTATATGTTGCATGGCTTAACGAAGCTCTCGGACAACTGACCATAGAAGACTAGGCTGAAACGGCTGAGGATTGAGTTTTCCTGCTGCCTCCGCTGGCACAGTGCTGCTGGGTGTTTCTTGGCTGGTTGTGCCTGCCGGCGCCTTTCCGAGCCTGTCGTGATGCTCTCCGGCCACTTCACATTCCATCGACAGGCAATGATGTTCCCGTTGCTGTGGTAACGCGGTTTCATGGCAAGGGCAAATGTTGCAAAGGCGGGGATAATCTGATAAAGGCGCTTACGATGCCTATGCTGCCATGTATCGGTGGCATCGTTTCTTATTGCAACCTTGTGTGGGAGCGGGGTGGCCACTTCTGAACGAAGAGTCATCTCATGAAGAACCCGACACAGGGCGGAGTGGCACAATACCGAACCCATGTGCCGCACCTAAGCTGGGCCGGTAGCTGGGCAAAGATTCGCCTGCACGGAAATTCGAAGTGCCTTCGCCCCTTCTTCGTTGCTCTTGGCATGGGCAGGCGATGTCACACTTCCTGGCATCGGTGGTGTCCGAGAACTGTTCGTCACGACATGCATGCTCAGGCTCCGGCCAACAGAGCCCTGATTGTCATCATCCACTCTTGCATCCATACTGGTACTCGACCTGAACAGCATAAGCTACTCGACAAGTCTTGCAAACTTGTGCAGACGTGGTCCTCTCTGTCTCGCCAGAGAACGGCCGCACGACGTCTATGACATACTCCTGCCCCGAAACAAGAAACGGCTCAAATTCGCTGCGTGCGTGCATGCCAGCTGTTGAACTTGTTTCAGCTCACAGCCCGAACGTTGGAAGCACCCACAGAGCAGGAAACAGGACACTTGGCTCAAATGTGACAACCCCGGCAGGCTTGCATATGCAAGTCATGGATGGAAAGCTGGATACATCCTGACACTCAGACACAAACAAGAACCCCGTACCCAACATGCACAGTGCAGCCAAGCTGGTTGGAAACTTTCATTTCTCGGTCGAGTCTTCTCTTACAAACTCGTGCGTGGCTTGATGCCTCTTGGAAACATACCTCCCACCTCTTATCCAACGCACAAAGCCCCCATTGGACCTTCGTGGACGACAACTCCGAGCTGTTAGTGCGCGGCGTTCCTCCTGTTGCTGAGTGTTGTCTGCATCTCACATGTTTCCCAATAAAAAACCGTCTAAGTCAAGCAGTCCTGGCTGCGGCCTGACAAGTGCAGGACAAGTATGCAACTGCACACACACACACGCACACACGCGCACACACACACACACGCACACCAATACACCTAGCGAATATCCCATCATGATCGTCTGAGCTGCGTTGTTCTCTTCTGCTATTGGCTCTGGGGGCGATGCCGTCTTAGCTCGGGCATGTTGGCGGGCTTCAAGACGAAAGCATGAGGCCAGGATTCCGTTTTGTCTTGCAGCGCCTTAACAAGCACCAACACGCGGGTCATTACAAGTCCGGAGTTCACCGGTCGAACTTGGACGGGGGCCAATTCTTGCGTAACATCCGAAATGGGAATGACGAGCATGCCTGGACGCACCATCTGCAAAGCTCACCACCTCGTACCAACAAGCTCCGCGCTGGAAGCGGTTTCGCAGGTAGGCATCTGTGATAGATCGAAATCATCCAATGGGCCTTATTTCATCCGAAACTAGGACAATCACAGCGAGACTCCAACGAACTATGTCTGCCACAAATGATGGCCAAGGCTGCGGCCGAGCTCGGCAACGCCTGCACGCGGAATGTGTTTGATCGCTTTGCGAATGCATCGACATCGACATGATGCATCGACATGGCAACATCAGTGCAACATCGAGAACGCAAACACGTGCACACCTGCGACACCAGAAGTTCTGGAGTTCGCAACGACTACACAGACATGATACGAATGCTTGAAGACACGGCATGGGGTCGCAGAGCATGACGTGATACAACAGGACATTGCAACGACATCTCCCGTCGCACTCCTTCGGGGTGATCCTCCTCACATCTGCACTTCGAATCCGAATCCTGGTGCCGACACACCAACATGGCATGAGACCAGGTAAGCTCCGAAGCACTAGGTCGCACGCCGCACACGTGCAGGCTGACGCACCCATTGCAACATCACGTCTGTGACGGCTGGGCAAATAGGCGCAACTTGAACTGAGGAATAGCATGCTCTGCTGATTCTACTGACGAAATGTGAAGTGTCCACTCTGTTGGCTTGCTCTGGTGACCGGCTAAGACTTTCTGTCTATTGCACCTGTGAATAAGAACCTCGCAGCGGCACGCTTTTCGCTCACAGCAATCCAGCTTGTTGCGTGCCTTTGCTGCAAGAACAAGCTAACTAGCCTGACCATTATCTTTGTGTCGTGCTCCAACAGCAAAAACTTGCGGCTTCCGTTCTTTTTGGATATAAATAAACTGTTACACAAACGTTCTGCAGTGTGCAACACAGGGGCCCCCCATGAAACTCGGCTGGCAATGTTTTTGCAGCCCGTTTTTGTTGGAGCTTGGGTATTGGTGGCGGCTGAACTTGGCGACGCTCCGTGGTTTGGTCGGCTGGGTGTAGCGCGGCAGTTTGTTTGCCACTTCCAAGGAGTGATGCTGGCTCGCGGTCACTGATGTGTGAAATTTAATCGTTTTCCGCGTCTGTGTTGGAACCGTCTTCCTGGTGCAAGTGTTTTTTGACATTCCAGCTTGGTCTAGACAGAATACAGCTCGGCTCTCACTTTTTCTCGCCTCGCTAACACAGCTGCTCAGAGTTCGTTTCTTTGAAGGCAAACCCAGACACTCTGGGATAGTGCTTTGGTAAAACCTCGAGGATACGACA